CAAATCAGAAGAGACTCAAAACTGGGGGGAGAAAAAGGGAGGGAAAAAAAAAAGAAAAAATATATATATATTAGACTAGTGATTAGAACATCACCACATACTTGATTTTGTTGTTAGAAGAAACTATCTCTCAAAATTGTAAAAAAAGGAAAACTCATATATATACAAAAATAAGGGTAAACATGATGAAGGGATGGAAGATGACTATAAAGATGGAAATTAAAAGATATTCTAATAAACGAGTTGATAAAATAAGAAGCTGGTTGAAAAAAGAAAGAGAAAAGAATGTGATTGGGCTAGAGACTAGAACAAACCAAAACTAAGGTGTATTTTGATCTAATAGAAGAAACTGTATCCCAAAATTTTAAAGAAAGAAAAACTTATATGTATACAAAAAATAAGGTCAAATACAATGAAGGGATAGAATATGACTATAACAATGAAAAATTTAAAAAAAGATTTTTTAAAAAGGTATTGATAAGATAAAATATTTTAAAAAGTGTTAAAGTAAGAAAGAGGAAAAATTTTAAAAATAGAATAAGAAAAAATAAAATTAAAAAAAATTTAATGGGGAAAAAAAAAAAAAAAGAAACAAACCATGAATTCTGAGCTGTATTACTGTAGCTCTGAAGTTTTTCAGTTCTCATTGATCAGTGAGCTTGGCCTTGACTGGATGTTCTTGTTGATCTTCTGGGGGAAGGGCCTGTTGTATTGATTCTCAAATGTCTTTGCCAGAGGTGGAATTGCACTGCCCTTGCTAGGGGCCAGGGTAAGTGGCCTGGTTTGGAATGTGAATCTGCTCGGGTTCACTCTCCATAGCTTTTGTTCCCTGCACACTTTCCATACAGCTTGGAGGAGGAGAATGAGGATGGTGGCCTCCCACCTCTGGGCCAGAGCCCAGAGGAGCCAATATCTCACAGCCTCACTACTCATTGTGCCCTCAGACAAAAGCAGTCAATCACTCCTGTCTCCATAGTCTCTGGCTGCACTCTGAGTTCACTCCTCCTGTGATTGGGCATTTCTATCTCTGGTGCATGGGCCCATTTAGAATCTCCAAACCCAGCAAATTCCTGCAGTGGACTCCCATGTCACTCCTCCGAGAGGAGGAAGGAGGGGGTCTCCCAGGATCTGCCACCTGTGGGGTCCCGGCTCAAAGAGCAGTAGCCCAACTGTGTCTTGGAACATGGTTTAAGGTAACCCAGATCTGAAAGCCCCCTTCTCAGCTCTGTCTTTGCAGCTGGTTTCCCCACTCAGACACCTGGGAGCTCTGCCATATATAGACACCCCCGGTCTTTCTGTGACTCCACATGTCCTGAGACCACACTGTCCCCTCAAGGGTTTCACCTCCTGCTTTGCCTCTGAAGTGACATCCCTCAGTAGAGCAGATTTTTTAAAAGTTCCAATTTTGTGCTCCACTGTTCTACTGGTGGTGGGAGCCAGCAATCCCCTCCCCTGATGGTCTATCTTCCCATATATTGCCTCAGATTCACTTCTCTGCACATCCTACCTTCCAGAAAGTGGTTGATTTTCTGTTCTGAGAATTTCTGCTCTTCTTCTCTTTGATATCCTGTTGAGTTTGTAGGTGTTCAGATTGGTTTGATAACTAGCTGAACTCCTGGGACCCAATGATATTTAAGTCTCCTACTCTACCATCTTGCCTCAAATCCTCCATTTTTATAAAATAGAAGGATACTTTAGCTGCTTAAAGGCAAAAATGGTGTCAGATAATTATTCTAAATTTACTATTTCTGACCATTTGATACTTAGAGTAGTATTGCAACATATTTATGTACATTTTTAAGTAAATACATATAGGAGATTCTTCTTTCCTATTATAATTTCCTAGAATGAATGATATACTATGAGCACCTTAAGTTAAAATCAGTTCTTAGGTATATGTGTGCTGTCTCTGAAACTGGGTTTTGTAAGAAAGAGATTTCCAAATTGGTAATCTTTCCAAGCAAACAGAGGTACAGGGAAGAGGAAAGCTTAGAATTTGAGGAATATCTGTAGAAATTGCTTTGTAATCTTATAAACTAACTGGTATCACCACAGTAGTTCTAATGGAGCACTGCCCTGTTCAGAGCAGAAACTTCAAAAATCGTATTGCCTTGTCTTGCCTTCTAAATTTAAAAATACATTTTTAAAAAAGACCTAAAATGTATCAAAATCTTTCTAAATTTTTTAAACAAAATAAGACTTATCTCTGTATTGAGTCATCTATGTTAAGAGGCCATCTGTTTTTTTGGTGTAGAACTATTATAAAAAGTTTAATTGGAGCAATCTGTAACTTATAACAATAATGAAAATTAAAAAAATACTTTCTCACAATGCTTGAATGAATTCATATAATATATCAAGGGAAACATTTTTGGTGAAAATTGATTATTTTGAAATGTGTCACCTGAAATTATCATTAAAAGAAATTAACTTATAGTCTACTCATATAAGCTTGTTGAAATAGATTTTCTTAGTTTAGATAATTTCCCAGTGTGATGAATGTTGACAAAAATATAATATTGATAAGTTACAGATGAGTTCTGTTTTTTCCATTACCTATTCCCTACAAACAGAAGACCGAGCAGACCCACTTAAATGGTTCTTTTTTTTTTTTAAACGAATAACTGTATATATAGATTACAAAGCAATTGGAGTCAGTGACACCTTCTACATAGTCCCTGTTACTTAAGCTCTATGTGTACCTTAGTTTCCTCATTCGTAATAATTGCTTTTATCATTGGACTATTTTGAGAATTAAATATATCAATATGTGTAAACAGGGGGGACACCATTTACATTATGGCCATCACATTTGGATTGTTATTATGATAAAATGGCAGGTATCACAAAGTGTCTTAAAAAACGGTGTTTGTACCAATTTGTACAAAGTCAACTTTTGGGCTAGTAGAGGCATAATTATTCATCATCATTGAGCTTTCACTAATTTCCAAGTATAAATGAGGTAGACAAAAAACTAGACTTGGGTTGTATTTTCTTTAAGGCTGGGGAAGTAGGTAGCGGAGAGATATTTATTAAGTGAGCAAGATTAAATGACCCTTAATATAAGAATGAAGTTGCATCAATTTTGATATGAAATTTAGGATAGGAGATCTTAAATCCTGTTGGTTGTATTGCTCAAAGCTTTGCCTGAGACCTTGAGATCTGTAGCCACAGAAATAAAATAACCTCCACAAAACAACAGGACCTTATGCCACTCCTTTGAGTGTCAACATTCTCATTTAAAAATGGGCTAAAAGCACTTGTTCTGAATCTCTAATTCTGTTAATCTGAAAAGTTTATGTTTGCTAAAGCAGCTCCTAAGTGTCAGGTTATTACATTTTGTTCCACATATTTTGAAAGAAATGGCCTTGATTTCTTTTTCTCGTCATACTTCATTTTGCATCTGCTTTCTTTCTACTTCTTTCTTGAAAGCCTACTTGGACACAATTGAGCAGGTGATGGCTCTAGCTTGCAGTTCCTGGTGTTGAAGCAGCAGTTAAAAGCTGCATCTCAGGAAAGGGCTTGATCTGATTTTCAGTTTATGAAACCAACTGAAAGGGGGATTGTGGTTTGTGAAACAGAATCCTGGCAAGAAAGCAGGATTAAAGAGGCTGGTGGCAAGTAGACCTTGAAGTGATTCTTGAGCTTAAGAGTCACCTTGTGGGAGCCACTTTTCTGGCTTATTTGGCTGTTCCTATGCCTGTAGACTCCTGTGTACAGAGAGTTGTTGGAGGCATAGCCCTGAGTGGACACCAACCAAGCGCTTTAAGATCATGAGCATTAAAATTTAAATTGAGAAATGAAGAATCTGAACATTTGGCTCTTGGATTGAAAGAGACAGCTTGTTTCTATTCATAAACACATGGTATCCTAGACTAAAGACTGAGTAACCCTGAATTTAGTAAGCAAGGCTTAAGTGGAACATAAGTAGATGCTTTAATAGAATGAGAACGGATGCTTCCAGTTCCCATAAACATTTATTTTTTCCAGCTCATGTGTACCTTTTCTCAGAGATGAAATCAATCTTTTTGAAATGAGAAAATGAACTGTGTCACTAGCCCTCAGAGTTATGAGTTAAAAATATGGTGGATGTTCAGCCTCACATAGATGCAGCAAATAATTCAGCATATTGGAAATATTATGTCAACCTTTCAGATGCTTTTAGCCTGTATTTACAAAAAAAAAAACTTACTAAATTTCAATTCTTTAAGATTTCAACATATCCTTTCTATTACTAACATTATTTTTTTTAATGTGGAAATAGCTAGTGATTTTTATGACTTTTAAGAAAATCCCCAAATCATAGATCTTTGTGGCTTGAAGGGACCTCAGAACATCATGTAGATAAATACCTTCAATTTAAAGTTGAGCTACTGAGGCTCAGAGATGTGGTATGACTGTTTAAGGTCACAGAGCAAAAAGTTGGGGTGCTGGGACTCAAATCAACCTTCTCTTTCCTCTCTACACTATTGAAAAAAAGAAAAAAGAGAATAAATAAGGCAGTTTCTATTCATCAGTGTCAACTTAAAATTTTGGTAAATGATTTGTGGAACTTAGCTACATATACCATAATCATTAAGAGCAGGGTTTAATATCTGACCTTGTCTCCATTCCAGCTCTTTCATTTCTGTGACTTTGGCAAGTTATCTAATCCTTCTAAGTTTTAGTTTCCTCATTCATAAAAAGTGGAAAATGATAGTACATATATCATTTAAACCACACAAATAAATGATAAAGTATAAGCCAGACACACAGTGATTGCTTAATAAACATTAGTTATTGTTATATGTTTACATTTGGAAAACAAATATTTTGAGTTCACTTTTTGTGGTTTAGAGCCTTCTGCAGTAGAAAAATGTTACAATTGATAGTCCTAAGTAAATTTTGGAATCTTGATGGGCTAACTAAGGTGTTCAAAAATCAAACAGTTCATTTACATAGGCTTCAATTTTCTTTAGGAATATCTTACCTCACAGGATTTTTTTTTACATTGGACAATCAATTTCAGTTATTTTGCAATTTGATAGCAAGTATAAGAACTTCACCAAATGGGAAAAAAACTAGTTAAGCCAGTTTTCCTGCATTTGCCTATAATATTTTCTCAGTTTGGAATGCTCTTCTTTTTTCCTGTCTATCCAAATTCTACTCATCCTTTATAGTCTTGGCTCAAATTCAGTAGGGTCTGTGTACTAGTTTCCTGTTCTTGTCTCTTGAAAAGCATTTGTCACTGTTATTAACAAGTTTCAGTGTGGATGTTACCTCTTCCAGGTATTCTTTAGCATCCTACCCACTTCTAGATTAGATATCTCTCTGTACCATAGCACCCAGTACTTCCCCACCATAGAACTTGAAGAAGTGCTGTGACATTGTGGCTAGAGCAGAGGCCTGTCACCGCATTGCCTGGGTTAAAGTTTTGCTCTTGCCACTTCCTAAATATTTGATTTTGAATAGGTTACATGTCCTCTCTCCTTGTTTTTTGCTTTCTAAAATGAGACTTTAAATAGTGCCTATCTCAGATCCTCATTATTGAATATTAAAAGGCTAATTCATTTAAGCACAAAATAAAAGTTAGCTGTTTTATTATTATTATTGTTATTGTTGTTATTATTATTATTATTATTTTGAAAGAGAGAGTAAGGAGGTGGTAAAGAGAGAATCTTAAGCAGGCTCCATGCCCAGCATGAGTCTGACTCAGGGATCAATAAGATGATCCTGAGATCATGACCTGTGCTGAAATTGAGTCAGGTGCTTAACTGACTGAGCCACCTATATGTGCCCCAAGTGTTAGCTCTTATTATTATCTCATAGTATCATGACTGTTCTTTTACTTGTTAGTGTATCCTTACAGATTGTAAACTCCATGACCTGTACTCTTGATTGTCTCATCATATTTTTTAAGCCCAAGCAAAAATATTCATTGATATAATGGAAATGAAGCTGTGAGACCTTTAAAGGCAGGAATTATATTTTATTCACCTGTACACAGTCAGTGCCTAATCAGTGGCTCACTGATACTTAACACAGTTTCATAAATGAATGAATGAATTCATATTCTCAATGCTAAGCCTGGGAATTAATTGCTAATTCCTTTGTATTCTTGGATTCTCACAGCACTTAGCTGGTTCTTTTCCCATAGCACTTATGCATGACTGTACTGCATTATACTTGTTTGCTCTTCCTTCTCCCTGACCAGTTTTTGAACTCCTTGAAGATGAAGCCTGTGTTCATACATTTCTTCTTTAGCACTTAGCACAGTGTAAGTGCCCAAGGCATGTTTGCTGCAAAATGAAACTAAAAAACAACGGCTCTGGTCAAGTGTGATCTGGAACATGTTGACAATCTTATTGATCACTGAGTCCCTGCTTCCATCATGATTTCAATTGAAAAAGATTTTAAAAATGAGTTTCCTTAAAAAAAAAAAAGGAACTTATTTTAAGAAAGTGCCAACTAGTCATTCTTAAAAAAATTCCAGAACTTGTTTCATATTTGCTCATATTCTATGATTTAAAATTTCACATTGTATTTATTTTTTAAATTTTCTCCTTCACACTGTGTCATGTGTTGAAACTTATTTAAAAGAGATCATGAACTTCATCCTATTTTAAGATACTGAATGTCCATACTATTCTCTGGAGGCACCAGGCCAGCTTGTTATAATATGGACATTGAGATCAAGTTGAATCAGCATCTCAAAAATGCAATTTGTAGCTGAATGCAGCATCCGGTGTTGTCTGTGTTTTTATTTCAGTAGCACTTGTGTCAGGGCTAGAACACATATTCTTTCCTTGGTTTGTTAAGTCTGCCAAAATGTCATTCTTGTCAAAGTGTCTACAGAGGCCCAAAGTAGATGTTAAAAATATAGCCTCATGGAAAATTGCTGTTAATATGATTTAGCTTTTGAAATCAAGATTCTTTTCTTTATAAGCATTTTGGTTTTTGTCATACCTCAGCATGAATAGTTCTATGAGTGCCTTTCATAAAGGAGCTAATTTGTTTAAATATCATCACACAACTAGTAATTAGACATTAAGATTATCCCCCAAATCTTCCAGGGCACTAAGGGTCACACAGGTTAGCTAATGAGTCAGACTCATTTAAAAAAATTCATTTGTCATGCTTATTAGAATGAACCTATATTCCTTTATTACCTAGTACAAATCCTTTGCACATCAAGCCCAGAGCATAAAATTAAAATTGCATGAAACTTTGATCTCATTTTTCATTAATCATGCTAGATAATTATACACAGGTGTCAGCCTCTATCTAATGGCAGATGCTTTCTGACCCCCAAAATAATGCTGAATATTTGCTGTGTATACTTAAAAGGGAACTGGGATGTGCATTATACAAACCATACTCCTTTTATTATATCATGAGTTGAAAATTTTACCTGCATTATACTTAGAGATAACTTTAGTTAGGAATATCTGACAGCTATTCCAAGGATAATGAATTTAAGGGCTTAAAAGAAATAAGGATTAAAAAAGTGTAAAAATAGATCAAATTAATTTTTAAATTAAATTAAATGTCATTTAGATAATATTTCAAGACATTCATTTGAAATTCTTTGTTTAGTTTATTAATACATTACCTAAAATAAATAACCAAATAGTGATCATTCTATAATTCTCTAATCACACAGTATTGCATCTAGTAAAATATACACACACACTGCCAATGGCACAATGCCATTTAAACAGTGTTCTGTAGGGGTGCCTGGGAGGCTTAGTCATTTGAGTGTCTGACTCTTGATTTTTGGCTCAGGTCAGATCTCAGTGTAGTGAGGTAGTACCCTGTGCTGGGCATGGAGCCTGCTTAAGACTCTCTTTCTTCCTCTCACTCTTCCCCTCCCCACTAACCCCCACTCAATCTTTCTCTCAAATAAAGAAAGAAAGAAAGAAAAGAAAAGAATATAAAGTGTTATGTAGTGACCATTAAAAAAGTTCTGTGCAATCAAGGATAGTCATGAGAATGTATGTAGACCACTGACTTCCCATTAGTTTATCTTTATTTTTTTTTAAATATTTTATTTATTTATTTGAGAGAGAGAGATCCTGAGTGTCAGAGAGAGAGCAGGAAAAGAGGGTAGGGACAAAAGGAAAAGGAGAAACAGACTCCCTGCTGAATAAAGATCCCAAGGTGGGGCTCCATTCTAAGATCCTGAGATCATGCCCTGAGCCCAAGGCAGACACTTAACCAACTGAGCCACTCAGGCGCCCCTACTGTAACTTTAAATACCTATTCTCATTTAATTTTCAATCAGATGCCTCCAAAAGGGGCAAGATTCTATTAAGGTAGAGTATAACATATAAATTATATGTGCTATATTTTTTTTTCTTAGTATCTTTCTGTATTTTCCATTTTTTTAAATTTTTTAAATTTTTTCATCTTAACAGTATTCATTATTTTTGCAACACACCCAGTGCTCCATGCAATCCATGCCCTCTTCAATACCCACCACCTGGATCCCCCAATCTCCCACCCCCTGCCCCTTCAAAACCCTCAGATTGTTTTTCAGAGTCCATAGTCTCTCATGGTTCACCTCCTCTTCCAATTTCCCTCAACTGCCTTCTCCTCTCCATCTCCCCTTGTCCTCCATGCTATTTGTTATGCTCCACAAATAAGTGAAACCATATGATAATTGACTTTCTCTGCTTGACTTACTTCACTCAGCATAATCTCTTCCAGTCCTGTCCATGTTGCTACAAAAGTTGGGTATTCATCCTTTCTGATGGAGGCATAATACTACACAGTGTATATGGACAACATCTTCCTTGTCCATTCGTCCGTTGAAGGGCATCTTGGTTCTTTCCACAGTTTGGCGACTGTGGCCATTGCTGCTATAAACATTGGGGTACAGATGGCCCTTCTTTTCACTACATCTGTATCTTTGGTATAAATACCCAGTAGTACAATGGCAGGGTCATAGGGAAGCTCTATTTTTAATTTCTTAAGGAATCTCCACATTGTTCTCCAAAGTGGCCACACCAACTTTCATTCCCACCAACAGTGTAAGAGGGTTCCCCTTTCTCCACATCCTCTCCAACACATGTTGTTTCCTGTCTTGCTAATTTTGGTCATTCTAACTGGTGTAAGGTGGTATCTCAATGTGGTTTTAATTAGAATTTCCCTGATGGCTAGTGATGATGAACATTTTTTCATGTGTCTGATAGCCATTTGTATGTCTTCATTGGAGAAGTGTCTGTTCATATCTTCTGCCCATTTTTTGATATGGTTGTCTGTTTTGTGTGTGTTGAGTTTCAGGAGGTCTTTATAGATCATGGATATCGACTTTTTGTCTGTACTGTCATTTGCAAATATCTTCTCCCATTCCGTGGGTTGCCTCTTTGTTTTGTTGACTGTTCCCTTTGCTGTGCTGAAGCTTTTGATCTTGATGAAGTCCCAAAAGTTCACTTTCCCTTTTGTTTCCTTTGCCTTGGGAGACAGACCTTGAAAGAAGTTGCTGTGGCTGATATCGAACAGGTTACTGCCTATGTTCTCCTCTAGGATTCTGATGGATTGCTGTCTCACGTTGAGATCTTTTATCCATTTTGAGTTTATCTTTGTGTACGGTGTAAGAGAATGGTCGAGTTTCATTCTTCTGCATATAGCTGTCCAGTTTTCCCAGCACCATTTATTGAAGAGACTGTCTTTTTTCCACTGTATATTTTTTCCTGTTTTGTCGAAGATTAATTGACCATAGAGTTCAGGGTCCATATCTGGGCTCTCTACTCTGTTCCACTGGTCTATGTGTCTGTTTTTATTCCAGTACCATGCTGTCGTGGTGATCACGGCTTTGTAGTAAAGTTTGAAATCAGGTAATGTGATGCCCCCAGTTTTATTTTTGTTTTTCAACATTTCCTTAGCAATTCGGGGTCTCTTCTGATTCCATACAAATTTTAGAATTATTTGCTCCACCTCTTTGAAAAATACCGGTAGAATTTTGATCGGAATGGCACTAAAAGTATAGATTGCTCTAGGCAGTACAGACATTTTAACAATGTTTATTCTTTCGATCCAAGAGCATGGAATGGTCTTCCAATTTTTGTGTCTTTTTCAATTT